AAAGTTGATTCTGTAACCACAGGGCTTCAACACTTTTATCTCCCATTTTCCTCTTATCAGAAGGTGGATTGAAGGTGGATCTCCCCTTCACAAAGGGAGAAGTAATGAGAAAGACCAGGGCAGAGAGGAAGGAGCCGCTCTGAAAGATGGGGAGGAGATCCTGGACTCTGTGATGGCCTTGAAAATAAACAGTGCGGAAAGCAGCAGGAAAGCAGAGTTGTTTGAACAGCGCAGAGGTTTCTACTTCTGTCAGACTGTTTGGGGATGAATTAGTGATAGGTGTACAGCAAGTTAAATAAATATAAAGAGCAGACCGTGGCTTAATCCAAGAGAAAATAAAACGTCGCATGTAAGAATGGAATCCCACGTGACCCAGCTCTGAACTGTACATAGTCATGATAAGGTAAATATCAAATTTATTTAAACAGAAAAGGTAATCATATCATGTGGGATGGAGGGGCCAGGTGAGCCAGGAACAGCAAAGGGGAGAGAGTGAGATGGGAAGAACGTGGGACTAGGGAGGTCCTCCCCATCTGTATCTAGAAGTAAATGATTATCTAAAAAAGCAACAGTATCAAACTGCGACAACGAGGGAGTGAACACCAAAAGAAACAGCTACCAAAGGTTATTTCTACGGAGTAGGAATCCAGGATTAAGTTGAATTGCCCCAGGAAAAAGTCTAGTTAAGATTGTTTCAGTTTTAAAATCAATGTCCTTTTGTTATTTAAAATGGGGGACTAGGTGCCCTGCCTAGCAGGAATTTAGTACCTGGGCTGGTCCATCTCCGTTAATAATCACCCTCGGGTGGCACAAAGGGCCTCTGATTTCTCGGCCAAGGCTGTGGCTAATCAGGGGGGATCTGGAACCCGGCTCCCTTCTGGTTTGCGGCACATTTGCATTTGGAGACTTCCGCCTTCCCTTCCGGTGGGAGACTGTGAGCTCCCCGGGGCTGCTCCTCTGGGCAAAAGGGGTGCTGAGGCCCTGTGAGCTGAGGCTGCAGTCGGCTGCTTCTGGAACCATGGCTTTCCCTGCAGGATTCGGATGGGGGGCGGCCACGTCGGCTTACCAAGTGGAAGGTAGGAGGTGCTTCTTGGCCTTCACTGCTGGTGCGTTCTATGTGCCTGGGACGGTGGTGGGGAGCAAGGAGAAAGAAGAAAAGAAGGAAAAGGACTGGAAAGTCCACAGGTGGCATGGTTTCCCCTTTCCAGCGTGGGAGGCCGCTGTTCTCTTGTCTCTTTACACGGACACAGGGGTGGTGGGGTGAGGGGTGAGGACCCACTGCGGCTGCGCTTTCCCTCAAGCCAAGCTTCTCGGAGACAGCAGCGTATATTGGACTAGCTGCTGTTGTACCTGGTTTCTTAAACACACTTCATTCAATTCCCCCCCAAAGAGGGCAATTTCTGCTATTGGCTGAAAAAAATACTGGGTGAATTCCTGCAAAGGGCCCCTCATTCTTTGGGAAAAGCGGCCTGTTCTGTTCCTAGAGAGAGCAAAGCCACACCTATTCTTGTACTCCACCCCGATTCCGGGGGCAGCCAAGGACTAAAGGGGAGCAACTACTGAATGGTAGAGAAAACCCAGAACCCACTCGAAGCTTGAGTTCTGGTCTCCATTGCACCACACACGAGCTCTGTCAATCAATCCATGGTCCTCCTTGAGTCTCAGTTTCTCCATCTGTAAAATAGGAAGATAAGCTTAATTTTTCTAAAATACATATTACCCCCCCCCCCGGAATTTGGGGTTGTTAATAATGATCACGAAAACATTATTTATTTGGTCAAATAAGTGGGTAAAGCCCCTGGGTTAAACAAAGCCACAGGAGTTCATTCTGGTAGTTTCTTTCCTAGGGTCGCTGCAACCGATTACCATAAACCCTGAGGCTTAAACAACAGAAATTGATGCTCTTCCAGTTCTGGAGAACAGAACCAGCCACATGAGGATGAAATTAGCCAAGATGAGATTATACAGGCATAGGTCAGATCTAGTAGCACCAGTTAACCTAGTAGGCCAGTGTCTTTGTGAAGAAGGAAATCTGGACACAGAGACATGTAAGGAGACTGTGACATGATAACAGAGCCAGGATCTGAATGGCACAGTGAGCTAAGGGAGGAGGGGACCACTGGCAGCTCATGGGACAGTTTCTCCACCTTCACTTGTTTTCCACCCTACAATCTCTTACTTCTGTGCCATGTTGAGCTCTAGCTCAACCACTTAATAGCAGAGTGAATTTGGGAAAATAATTTACTTAAGTCTCAGTTTCCTTTCACATAAAATTAGAAAAATGGTCAGGCCCCTTCACTGATTCGTTTTGGGTATTAAATAGGTTAGCGGATGTAGCTGGAGCACCAGAGTGCCCACCAAGTGTTAATTCTGATATCAATGCTGTCATTGATAGTATTGATCAATTGATGGCTGCCTTCTCCGTCACTCTGTACGGATGAGGAGTGTCACACGGTCTACTCCATTGAGAGGGTAGGCATATTTTTTGTTTGGAATGCTAATTGGGATAGATCCCCTCCACCCTCATTCTTCACTACTTCTGCCTGCAGCTACTGGGAAAGTTACTGTTTAACCATCTCTTGCACCCTGGCCAGGATTACAGTGCATGAGATCAACATGTGGCTTTGTGGCATTAATAGCCTGGGTTTGAAAGCTGAGAACAATTTGTCACTTTTCAATTTTGTTAGTCTTTGGACTTTTGTGCTGCCCTTACCTCTAAAAGCCTACAGAGTCTTTGGAAATCACACACACTCAGGAGAACGGAGAACAGATCATGGACTGTATTTGTGGAGGAAAAAAGAAAAATTAACATTTTGGTGATTTGTTATAAAACATTGTCATATATCTCTTTCCACTGAATTTCAAAGGACAGTTTTCTGTGTAGGTATGAGAGAGGATACCCGAGATGGGTGAGGTCTAGGAGAACAGGTCTTCTCAAGGACACCCCCAGGATACACCTGCAGGGTCCTCTCCTTGGTGACTCAGCTCTTGGGAATTTGTAAACTTAAGTTCCTGGAACTTGGACATTTCCACTTCTGTGAAATCCTGTAGTTGGGGGGTGAGGTAGGGGGCTGGAATAGCATCTCCTGCTTAATCCAAACTGGCCAATGAAAATGGTACCTATGGGTTGGAACTTTTTGACTGTAGATAAAAAGAGAAAGACCAAGGCAATCAGGGAGTGTGGCCATTTGGGATTCTTCTATGCCGTAAGCTCCAGTAAATAGGCCAGTACATAAAGCCTTTCCCCTTATAAACATGGTGTTTGGGTGCTCTTTCTCTGTTGGGCCTCATCTTCCTGCAACAGATATATTTGTTTTTAAAAACCCTCTCAAAAGCCCTGAAAAATGACTAGCCTACCCTCCCTCTCTGACACAAAAATGGGAACATTTTAGTTCTGTGACTTGGATAGAAGGCATCATCAGCGTCTTTGCAGGTGGGGACCACTGAGAGGGGCAAGGTGTTCTGATCCCTAGGACTCCTGACGCAGGGACTATTTGGTTGCTTAATTCACCAGACTCACAGGCTTTCCTCCTTACTGTCCTTGTGTACATCCCTGCTGCCTCTCTGGCTCTGTCACTGTTTAGGGTTTCAAAGAAGAGTTTAATGTTTATTATGTAAGAGTTGGCTGTGTGGTGCCTTGAGCCTTTTGGGGGAAAGCGCTCTATAAATCTAATAAATAAATAATAAATAAGGGGCATAAGCAGGAGGAAAAATTATGTGTTTTAGGTGAGTTGTAAAGAACCTTGTAAAATCTATAAAACGTGTTTGTTAGACCAAGAGACAGGGAAGAAAATGCAGAAAGTCGCGGAGCACAGAGAAGTGAGTCTCACGCTGTGTTTTTAAGCACAGAAAAGTTCCCATGACTTTTAACCCTTTGCGAAGCTGGCTCTGTCCTCTGTTTTTGGCTGATGGGAACCCAAACAGCAGGTGGCCAAGTGGCATTTTTGTTTACTTTCTTGGTAGGCCACGGAGGAGCTGTGATTATGACTGACATTTAGGATCCGATTCCACAGTTTCTATGAGTCTGTAATTCCCAGTGATTTCAGGGAAGGCTCTTAAAGGGTGAGCACGTCTGTAAAATCCCATAAATCCTGAGTGAAGTCCAAATACTTCATTCATGCTTCCTAGTGGGCTCTGAGTTTGGGGTGCGTGGGGAGCCAACAGCCTCAGTTTTATGATGCCGTTATGAAGCTTTGGCACGTACTGGATACTGATATAATGCTTGATTTTGATTTAACTTTGACTTTGGTGGGCAGAAACTGGGTGTTGCCCCAGACTTTGGCCATCTCTGTCTTGGTATGTTAAAGGCTGAGTCTTATAGTTGAGATTTTTTTTATTTTTTTGCTCATGGTAAGCGGGAAAGTGAACAAGGCACCTTTATTTCATGGTTTGGGGTATGGTGATTCTCTACAGGCTGTTTCTTCTCTGGTCCTTTGAGCTGGTCCATACAAACCTGAGCTGGAGACACAGCTCATCTCCTTGCAGTAGGTATCAGGAGGGGCCACCTATTTCTCTTGGGACGTCCCATCCCATTTCCTTTCTCTACCCAACCTCCTCTGGCTGTGAGTCTTGATCCCTGTTTTCTACTAACCCCCCTGGATCCATCTCTTGGCTGCTCTTGGTGATTTTTTTAGGGCTAGAAATATAGATCTACTTCTTATATGACCCCTTAGGAAAGAAGGAGGGAGAACAGATGTAAAGTACGGTGGTTGATTTCTTGGTTGGTGAGGACAAAGTGAGAATTTACCCAGGAAATTTAGCATCACTTAAAAGTGGGTTTGACAGAAATCACCTTTATTTCTTTTCTCTGGTTTCAAATTTGAGATCCACAAAAAAACCCCTCAAAAACTGCCCTCCATGTTTATAGTACCATGTAATTAATGACGCAGTCATCACGGACGGAGCACAGCTTCAGGGAGGCTGTGAAAAAAACTCTGGGACTAATGCACTACCCACACTACCCATCAGATACCAACTTTAAACGCCAGGCAGAGTCTATACTGGCACTTGCACAGACCAGTCAGAGTGGATGCCGGCTATGAACAACCACTGGGACCACACTGATATGCACAAATTGAGTTTCAGCCTTGGGCGTACGAATGAAACACACCTGGAATATTCCACACTCGATTTGTGGAGTACTAGAGAGTTGAATCCCTTCTATAAGCCTAGATTCCCCTCTCTCTGTTTTTTCATTCATTTGTTACCTCCCTCTATTCTGAGCACACCAATTCTCCAAGGGCCAATTTTTCCAGTACCTGAATTGGCTTCACGGGCAGTGATAAAAGACAGATACCTGCTTCCATCCCCTTTGGGATCTGCAGGTTATTTATGAGGTTCTGGATCGCTTATCTGTGTCTTCTTTTGTATCAGCGAGGCTGATTTTGAATAGAGTAGATGGTTATCACATATATTTAGAAGTTCTTTTTTGGTGTTACAGAAGTAGTACCAGATAATTGTACAACGTTTAAAAGATATAAACAAAAATAAAGTAAAAATCAACCAGAGAGATATTTTAAATTTTGCATTTATACTTTCAGTATTTTTCTATATATTTATAGACGTACATGCACACATATATTTTTTTTACCCTGATAGGAGCATTCTGTAAATGGTTCTGTTTTTCTTAAGATATTTGCAAATATCTCAATAAGTTATAACATATCTCTGCATCTTTTCCCCTCTCTCTGTGCCCTCCCTCCCTTATCCACCTTTCCACAAGCCAGATGGAGGCTACACAGAAAGCCAAATGGGAGTCCATACATTTCACCTGGAGAAACAAGATAAAAATAGAGGTATCTCAATAATTTGTTTGGAATACGGGCCCTATGTAGTGGCCCACATATATGTGCATCCATTTTTTGGTCACCACTAAATCAATCAGTCAAGACAGGACATTTGTTTCGATGAATATGTGCCAGCATCATATTGGAAATCAAAGGTACCAGTTGTGCTGTTTCTTCCCAGGCCTGCCCATCTGGTAGAGGATGCTTTCCAGCTAAGTTCGCTGGTGCACAAGGTTATGTGATTCTTTAAAAATTATTAGGCCATCACACAAGTGCCCAAGCCAGAAATA